GAAAGAAAGAAAGAAAGAAAGAAAGAAAGAAAGAAAGAAAGAAAGAAAGAAAGAAAGAAAGAAAGAAAGAAAGAAAGAAAGAACCATACTCATACATGAGTACATATAGAGGAAACTGATAAAAGCTCACACAAGTATAGCTATAAAATGAAAAAATGAAATTTGCCTCCATCAGAGCAATCCCAGGCATCATCCATGGAAAAACACTTGGCCAAATTAAAACCTTGAAGTAATTGGCTGCTCATGGTGATTTACCAAGTACTTTTGGAGATGATTGTCAAATGCAATTAACTGACATAAAAGTCGTGATATGAACTTCCTTCTAACCATATTATTTGGAAATGCGCTTGGTATTTATAAAGATGTGAAAAAAAAATGTTTATTAGGTGCTCTTTAGGTTAGGATAATTATATATGCACTAAATATAATGAGATGAAACTTCAGTAGCAGTAAAAAATAAAGCAATAAGCTGTACAGAAACTGAGCCCAGGCAGTCAATGTGTATTTCTGTTATAGCTGATACTCAGTTCTCTTTTGTGCCCCCAGCTCGGTTTTTTCCTTCATATTTTAATGTTTTTATGGGGAAAATCATTTTATGTGCTTATTTTGTGTGAAGGCTGAATATCTAAGCAAGATAAATTAATGTATCAAAAGATTTAGCTGCATTTCATATGTAAAACTTGGTTGTGCTTAGAGCCTAATACTTGCTCCCTCCCACTCACATTTTACATACAAATCACTACATTTCCTAAAACTGCTGTAGAGTTCTTCATTTGCAGCTCAAATCTGCAGCTGAGGTAGAAATAAAGTCTAGAGTTAAGGAAATCCACATGAAAATTCAGATATTTCAGTGGAATTGGGGTCTAAAATCTGTCACTGAAAGCAGAATTTCAGCTGAGGTTTCCAAAGGGCTGTAGGTACCTCTGGAATGGGACATTTGGTGTCCTGGGAGGGAATTTGGGCCAGGAATAATCCAGCAGCAGAAAAAATGCTAAGAGATTTCTGGGAGATGTGGGATGCTCAGAGTCACTGTGGTTAACTCAGAGCCCTCAACAAGAGAGAATTGAAATCGTGGGGTTGCAGCCCCTGGGCTGGGAGAGCCATGGAACTGCAGAGTGCCAGGATGGGCTGGGCTGGGCTGGACCTTAAAGCTGATCCAGTGCCAGCCCTGCCATGGGCAGGGACCTTCCAGGGGCTCCAAGCCCTGTCCAGCCTGGCCTTGGACATTTCCTGTGACTCACCTGCCTGTGGCCACTTCTGATCCCGCTGGGAATTGTCTTCCCCAGCTATCCCATTTTCCAGCCCACATTCCATTCTGTGCCAGCCAGGAGGGAGGGAAGGGAGATTTCCCCTCTCAGCTCTGTGCTAACGAGGTGGGAGCAGCCTGGCAGAAGAGATTCACTGGGACCCCACCATTAATTAGTGATTATTCCTTCTGGTAAGGAAGAGCTCAGGGGAGTCCCAACTCTGTGGTGGCAGCCCCTTTGCACTGAGAAGTTGTGCCCCAAAAGTGGCACCCCCTGCCAGGTTAAACCAGAGCCCTCAGGGGTTTAACCCTGGGAACCTGCAGCTGGAGCAGAACAGCTCCAAGACCTAAGGTCAAACCTGCTTTTTCTTTGTTCTCCTCGTTCCTTGTGAGCATGGATTGCTCTCATCCCCCGGGATTTGTTTTTTTGTGGCAGCTGAAGGTAGCAGGGCATGAGGAGCTGGAAAGTATCTGCTGTGGAAACAGATGTTGGCCTTCCTCAGCTGGACATTGGCCCTGTCAGGGATGCAGAGAGGTGTTCCCAGAACACTGCTTGGTGGGGCAGCGGCCCCACTGCACATCTGGATCACTCCTGCACACCAAAATCCAGTTATGATTCCCCAAAGAGCAGAACAGCTGCCCCACTGCACATCTGGATCACTCCTAGATGCTGAGATCCTGCTGTGATTCCCAAGACCTTTGGGAGAACACCTGGCTGGGTGCATTTGGCTGCACTTTTCTGCAGGCCCAGCCAGTGCAGGAGGGGGAGAGGAGCCTTGGCTTTCCTCCCTTGCCCACAAGGAATCTCCTGCAGAGCCCCGGGCTCAGGGTCTGCACAGCTGGCTGTGGCATCCTCTGCTGCCCAGGCCCAGGATGGAGGGAGTTTGGAGATTCAGGGAATTACAGGTGAAGGCAAAGATCTGTGAAGAGACCAGCCCAGAGCAGCTGAGCTCCCATCCTGACAGGAATTCCAGGATTCAGCTCACCCTGCACACGCAGGGGTGTGACCTTAGGGAGCTGCTCCAGGCACAGCAGAGATTTTTGGCTTCTTGTCACCTCCAGCCACTGCCCTGCTGGCTCAGGCTGGCACCCTGAGGACCTTCAGCTGCACCAAGGAGGACTCCAGGCCACCTGCAAGCCCCTCCCTCTGCTCCCTGCAGAGCTGTCACTGCACAGAGGGTGCCAGGGACCAGCTGCTGAACACAGGACAGCTCCTGTCCATCTCCACATCTGCATGACCCCACAGCAGAGGTGCCCCATGCCAGGGAGGGAATGACATTCAGCCTTGATCACAATCTCAGCAGTAATTCTGAATCCTGCAAGCTCTTCTGATATCTTACTTGAAAAGCCCAAATGTAGTTTCAGACTCGCCAAGCAATGGCTCAGCAGCTTCAGTACACATGAACATGAGGAACAAAAGCACCCATGGCCATCTGGAAAACTCAGGGGAAGATGCACCTCTGAATCACACACTGATTTGTAGTCAGCTCATCCGAGTCACTCACCACCACCAAATTATTAAGGCACAGGAAGCACAAGGAATCCAAGACCACGAGTGTGTTCTTTGTCTCTTAAGTGCATAAAAAAGCAAAGCATCTGTTAGGAGCAGAGGGAAGCTGAATTGTTTTAGCACATTCCCTGGAGTTCTTGGCTGCAGTGGGACCCTGATGCTGGAGTTGCATTCAAGCTCCTGGGCAGACACAGAACCCAGCAGGGCTGGATTTTAAAAACAAGTACCAAGACCAAAGAGAAGACAACACAGTTTCAACCCTATTTCCCCAATTTCTTCTTTCTTTTTTTCCCTCAGGAAGGTAAAAAAGTAAACAGAGTGAGTAGTTAGGAACATTGGAGGCTGTCAGTTCAGGCTCAATAAATACTGCTGTGGCACTGATGAGTTTAAAACTGACACTCTTCCTCCTGGAGTGTTTGGAAGACACAAAATGAAGCCCTAATAAACACAGTCTTACCATGGCAGCAATTTGCAGGCTGAAGAGATGCTGCCTCCTCTGGCAAGAAGAAACCCCCAAGGTTTTAGGTGATCTTTCCAAGGGACATTGTTCTCCCACCCTCCTTAGCAGCAGGGAGATTTTCTATATGTGAACATAACTTGCAATAAATCAGCTCTAGAATAGTCAGGACGAGGTTTCAGAATTCAAAACAAATGTCAGGACAAAAAGAGTGACAAATACAGAGATTCAGCACTGCCAGAGGTGACTGAGGTGAGATTAACCAAGTGCTTACAGCAGGAGGATCACATCCCAAAGGCAAAGGGGGCAGGGAGGAACACGGACAGGACCAAGACAAGGCAGCAGCAGAAGAGGGAAGAAAGCAGAGGGGACCTGAGGGATCCACCAGAAATGGGTGTGATTGCACAGAGACTGGGGAACAGGGATTTGGGGGGCAGGGACTGGCCTGGGGGTGGATGGAGCCAGGAGCTGCCAGGGTTTGGCTGGTCCGTGGTGGCTCCCAGGGAGGGGGGACACAGCCCAGGCTCCACTGCTGCTCAGGAAACCCAGAGGAGGGCACAGAAGGGCTGGGGGACAGGGCTGAGCAGAGAGAGGCAGGTTCTGGCCATGGAGGAAGCAAAGAAACATCTCCAGGCTGGGACGAGGGGGAGGAAACCAAGTGAGAAACAAAGGAGTATCTTGGAATTAGACACAAGGCTGATCAGCACAGTTAGAAAAGACTGGGCCATATTTCCCTGTGCACACTCTTGAAAATATGGTCCTGTGTTTAATATTAATGGGAACCATCGGCCATGCAGCATTGCCAGAGGAATATTTCCATTAACATTAAACACACTTTGATGCCAGTAAATGTTACTGGCTGGCAGAGGAAAGTTACAACGTGTGTAATTTTGCTCTTTGCTTTCTCTTACCATGTGTAGGTGTCTGGGTGGCACTGTCTAGTATCAGGTGATTATAATTTTGTTCTTGGTCATCTGAAATTCACAGAAAAAAAAAATCCCTTTAAGAACCAGCTTAGCATCACCACTGATCTGCAGATGATAATTACAGCTCACAGTATCACAGGAAATCTCAGCATGATTAAAGAAAGGAGAAGGAAATGCTTAAGAAAGCAGAAGATTCTGTTATGCAGTTCACTTAAAATTCCAGATGCAAGGAGAACACGATAATGGGAATCTGCTCCCCTTCTGCTGAGCCTGCAAATGAAGGTTCTGTGCAAAGGTGAGAAACACACCCAGCTGTACCCACAGGGTGAGGAGTTCCTGGGGCCCCATTCCACTGCTCCAGCTCCATCCAGCACAGGCCTTTGGAACTTTGGAGGTTTTCAGGATGTGAAACCCAACCACCCAAACTTAGAGTGTCCCACTGTGAGCACAACCACGTCCTGTGTGAGCACAGAGAGGAGTCAAAGGTGTGGCCTCGTGGAGTTAAACTGAGGCCTTGAGTTTGAGCTTTCCTATTTCCAGACTCTGCACTGCATTGGTGTGTGACTCTGAACTCCATCCAAAGTGTCAGCAAGTTCTCCTCCCAGCTCAGGCACACAAAACAATCCTTTGCCAGCCCCACAACCAAGGACAGCGCTGCAGCTTCAGCCCCAAAAAGTGCAAAGAGCAGCGACTGGAGGAGAGAATGTGGGAGGATGGCACTGCAGAAGCTGGAGCTGCAATTGGACAATGAAGGCCAAGATGGAAATGGAGCCAAAGTGATCCAAGTGTGAGAACTCGTGACTCGGATCCATCTTGGCTCCATCTTGGCTGGAGCCACGGCCGGGCTCTTGCAGTGCCCAAGGTGAATCCTTGGAAGGGCTTGGAATAAATCCCTGCTTTATTCCTTCAGCACTGCCCAGCCTCTGCTCCAGGTAGCTCTCCAGGCATCAAAACAGCTGCACATGAACTCTGGATCCCTCCCCAGGAAATGGGAATCCTGTGAGACTGAGGCACCCAGGGAGGGGGAAACAATCCATGGCAGAGGCACTGCTGGAACTGGGGCTGGCAACTGTCCCTTGGGGTGGAAAACAGCTCTGCCTCTTCCATGTAATAAAATCATCAGATTAGGGACTCCTGATAAATCCACGAGCTTTAGTTTTGCAACAAGGAATGAGTTCTTTGCCCAGACCTTTCCAGCATGGATGGAGCTGTAGCAGTGCAGGATGAGAGGAGATCTTTTGGGATCCCTCATGTCCTGCTCTGCTGCTGCAGGGGGTTACTCCAGTGGCTACTCTGCTTTTCCCAAATCTATCATGGATATTTTACTTTCTCTCCAGAACATCTGTGTCACTGATTCTTCCTTTCTGCTTTTCAGACCAATTCCTTCTTTTCTGTCTGCAGGGACGTGGAGAGAATCCCCCTTAATTCTGTCACAGCTCTTTGTGACCACAGTTACTGTGTGCTCCTTTATCCTCCATGCTGACACCATTCCTTTCCTGTTTCCCTGTAAAACCTGCTCTGCCTTGGGTCTCTGTCACTCCAGCACCCTCTGCTCCCACGGACCCACTTGAGATCCTCCTCAGTCTGGGATGTGTTTGTGAGAGAGCCCTAACCAGGACAGAGAGGAATGCCTGGATTGTGCCCAGTCAGCTTCTCTTGTTCACACAAATGTGATATTTTTCTTTTCCTGGTTTGTGTAAAGTCTGTGATCCTTTATTGTTCCTTACTGCTTTCCCAAGGAACTCTCAAATTGTTCTCTAACACAGAAAAGGCTTTTTAGCATTCTTGCTTCAGCCTGAAGCATCTCATTTTTCTCCATTTAATCAATTTATTTTCAGGCTATTTATCCAATTTGTCAAGAACATTTTAAATTCTAATCCTGTTCTCTAATAGACTTACGGTCATCCAAGCTTCATACCACCTGCAAATTTAATAAGCAAATTCCTTTTCCACCAGAAACAAAGAGAACAAATCCAGAACCACATCAGGCCACCCTTCCCCTGATGTTTAGTCCCTGCATGGTCACTCAGCCATGATGGCCTCTACCCCAGGCAGGTTCATTAACAACCTGCTTCTCTAATTAATCTGGAATCTGCTGGAAATCTTGCTAAGGTCATGATCCTTGATATGAATTATTTCTCCCTGGCCATAAAACACAGAAAAAAATAATAAAAATAAGGTTAAGTTTGCCATGATTTGTTTCTTAGTGTTGACTGCTTGTTTATCTCTCTCCCTCACTATGGGGAGTGTCTGGGTGCAACCAGGATTAAAATCAGAGTTTGTTTATTCAGGTGACAACAGACTGGGCATCTTCACCTGCTTCCTGCTGCTCCAGAATCCAGGCACTCCTTGTATCCCAGACAGATGGAAAAATGGAAGGGTTTTAGCCTGGCTGTGAGCATGAGATGAGCAAATCCTGGGAGGAGCCCAGGTCCACAGGGACACCTCAAGTGCCTTTAGATAAATGCCTTGCAGGTTTCCCTCGTTTGAATTTTCCTTTGACTCCTCCGCTGTTCATTGCTTTCAGCAAGGAAAAATTCTGCAGAAACTCATTTTGTGACTTTGTTTCAGTTTCTGTTCCTCCAGTAGTCAAATTTCAATTGAATGTGAAAACCAGACCAGAGGAAGGGGGACAAATAAGAAACTGGATATTTCTGGAATCCTGTAACTGTCTGGAGGGATTTTCAGAGCCATGGGATCAGATGGGTTAAATTTCACCTGGTTCCCAGCATGCATGGTATGGATTCCTGCTCATTCCTGGAAGTGGTCAAAAAACACATGGATGTGGCACTGGGGGACATGATTTAGTGACCACAGAGGTGCTGCTGGGTTGGTGGCAGGGCTGGATGACCTTAAAGGTCTTTTCCAAGCTGAGCAATCCCAGCTGTGACCCCGTGGACTGAGGATGGACACTGTGTCCTCTCTCCCGGTGTCCAGCCACCCTCACAGTGAGGGAGGTTTTCCCGACGTTTGGGTGGAATTTTGTGTGTTAGGGTTTGTTCCCTTTGCCCTGGCACTGGGCACCGCTGGGAAAGGACCGGCTCCACCTTCTTAGTTCACCCCTCAGTTCATCTCAGATCCCCCTGAGCCTTCTCCTCTCCGGGCTGGGGATCCCCAGCTCAGCCCCTTCAGCATCCTCGGCCCTTTGCTGGACCCGCCCCAGTCCAGCCGTGGCTCTGCAGTGCTGGGAGCCTGTCACTGGTGCCAGCACTGCTGCTCCTCCCCACTGTCCCCTGCATCCCGGGATGCTGTTGCCTCCTCTGCCGCAAGGGCGCATCGCTCCCTCATCCTCCTCTTGCGCCCAGCGCCGATTCCAGCGCTCATTTCCCCCCGATATTGTCATATTTATGTGTTACTCGATCCATTTCTGAGCATGCGAAGCAGGGAGTGAGGAATGAGCCCGGTGTATTTCTCCATGACCTCTCCCTGACATTTACAGCTGATAAGTTCATCGAGCATGACTGGATCGCTCCACTGACACTTCTGTCCTGTGAGCCTTGGAAGATGAATTTCCCCAGATGAATTTCTCCATCCTTCCAGAAGCTTTCAGAGGAGCCGGGGGCTCCTGTGCCCGTCCCTTGGGCCCCAGCCAGACGTGGGCTGCAGTCATGCCAAGGAGGGCAAGGACTTCCAGCCTGGCTCCAGCAAAGCTCATTTACAAATCAAGCAGCAGCAAACACCAAACCCCAAATTCTGTGTGTGCTGGTCCCTGCTGGTGCTGCCGGGTGAGAGGGGACACAGAGACGGGGACACTCGAGGTGTGAAATGCTGGTTTTGAGAACAGGAACAGACACAACCTGAACACACCAATTGTTCCAGAAAGGAACCAGCAGAGGTTTCACTCTCCTCTCACAGGTCACTTATTCCCACAAGCTGGGAGAAATTGGCCCTTCACTGAAGACAGCTGCACCTGAATAGGAACCATCATCTTCTGAGTATGAGCAACTTTTCATTTCACCCCAATTCCTTTTTCCTTCCTTTCCTTTCCTTTCCTTTCCTTTCCTTTCCTTTCCTTTCCTTTCCTTTCCTTTCCTTTCCTTTCCTTTCCTTTCCTTTCCT